TCACCATCAACCCCCTATTCTACCCTGCCACAATCATCCCAGCTTCAACCCATTATTTTTTTCCTTCCACTCACTCCACCATCAACCCCCTATTTTACCCTGCCACATTCATCCCAGCTTCAACCCTTCACTTTTTTCCTTGCACTCATTTAACCATCAACCGCCTCTTTTACCCGGCCACACTCATGCCAGCTTCAACCCTTTATTTTTTTCCTTCCACTCACTCCACCATCAACCCCCTATTTGACCCTGCCACACTCATCCCAGCTTCAACTCTTCATTTTTTTCCTTCCACTCACTCCACCGTCAACCCCCTATTTTACCCTGCCACACTCATCCCAGCTTCAACCCTTTATTTTTTTACAGGGGTGGGTAAATCGACTCGGGGGATCATTCTGAGTCGATCTGTACCTATAAATTTTGACGTTTTTTTTCACCCTTAGTAACCCTCCCTCAAAATGACCGATGGGATGAAAAAAAGTCTTTACTGGGGTGGGTAAATCGACTCAGGCGGTGATTCTAAGTTGATCTGTACCTATAAATTTCGAACTTTTTTTTCACCCTCACTAACCCTCCTTCAAAATGACCGATGGGATAAAAAAAAAAGTCTTAACAGGGGTGGGTAAATCGACTCAGGGGGTGTTTCTGGGTCGATCTGTACCTATAAATTTCGACCTTTTTTTTCACCCTCACTAACCCTCTTTCAAGATGACCGACGGGGTGAAAAAGGGTCCACAGGTGTATGTAGATTGATTCACGGAAGGATTAGACGGAGTTGCGGAGTCCAATCAGTGTATTGGAAAAAAATAAAAATAGAAGGGTGAACTGAGTGCATTGGAAAAAAATTAGGGGTTGAGGGTGGGAAGAGTGTGCCAGGGTGCGAAGGAGATTCATGGTGGGATGAATTCATTCGGCAAAAATGATGGTTGAGGGTGGAATGAGTCATGGGGAAAATGAGGGTTGACGGTGGGATGAATCTGGCAGGGTAAAATAGAGGGTTGATGGTTAAATGAGTGGAAGGAAATACTTTTTTTTCATCCCATCGGTCATTTTGAAGGAGGGTTAGTGAGGGTGAAAAAAAAGATCGAAATTGATAGGTACAGATCGACCCAGAATCACCCCCTGAGTCGATTTAGTTACCCCTGTAGAGACTTTTTTTTTTATCCCATCGCTCATCTCAAAAGAGTTTTAGTGATGGTCGAAAAAAGTGGATTCCACAAATAGATACATCTCCCCCCCCCTCCCCCCGCCCCTCACCGCCCTCGCCACTCTGTTGAGATATAAATCTCTCATGCCAGTTAGTGAACACATGGTGAATAGATTCTATGGTGAAAGGTGCTAATCCCCTCATGGAAAACGTTAAACTACAAAAACTTTGATACTGAAGATGGTGGTAATTTCATTGCAATATCACTTCGAATTCCCAAAGATATGAGTTTAACGATTTAAATTATAATCCATGGATCGTTCACCAGCTTCAATCTTCTTAATGTCTGGAATTGAACTACGTGTATTGACCGCGTTTATCATGACCTATTGATTATTATTCAATGCATTTTTCGAAATGATAACGAGCTATATCTCTCAATGTGTTAAGGAGTAACTGAGCTGTAAGGGCACCTCCTTGTAGAATTGTGATTGGGCTCGATATAAATAATGATTTCATTCAATGTATCTATCCAACTATCCACAATTTACAGGACCCTGTGGAGTTTCTCCTAGCCTCCCAAAATAGACACTTTTCATGGTTTGCCCTATGATAAGAACTATAATAAGGTGTGTAACTATGGGCGATGATGCTGAATTTTCTTATGCACTAAAAGGAAATTGATCTCACTGTGGAATCGGCTACGGTCATGTAAATATATGAATGTCGCTGCTAGTCATGAATCTATTAGAAAACGTCAAAAATTTCAATTTCTCCTTATTTCTACAATAATTGAATATTTTTTTGCAGGAAATGTACCGCAGACCGAAACATGGTAGTTGTAGTTGTAATGGCACAACCACATGGTTTAGTTTGAAACATGTCAGAAACAAATCCAACGATATGTAAAGGTCTTATAGTCTTATAGCGCTCTAGGCGTTCCCTTCTATGTTAGGGAGGGTGCAACGAGCTTTCCAGCCATTTTGCACCCTGCATTTGTCAGCCGCCTAGTCAATAGGTGCAAGTATGTTGGCCCTTCGAGCAAACTCATAGAGCCCATCTATGCCGTCCATATCGACATACATGTCCTTGATGCAAGTGGTCCCAAAGACGTCCCAACGGATCTCGTCAAGACCACTGCATCTGGTGCCTAAGTGGTGCGGGTTTTCGTCCGCCAGTCCACACTTCGGGCAGGTAGGGTCACTTCCTCTGCCTATTTTCGCCAGGTATGAGGCTAGGGGCCAGTGCCCAGTGATAAGTCCGATCAAAGACCGGAGTTGTATCCTGTTCAGCCCTACCAGCATCTCCGCCAGCTGTTTTGAAGGTTCACGAAAAAGGGTCCTTGTATGTTTGGCGCCCTCTTCAGAGCGCCACCTTTCCACAACCCCCCTCTCCGCTCGTTTCCAGATCATATCCTTAACGAAGTCTATGTGCACCCCCACTGGGTTCTCCTCTGTTGGCGCAACCTCTAGGCAACCTCTTTTGGCCAGCTCGTCGGTTTTCTTGTTGCCGAGGATGCCAGCGTGGCCCGGTATCCAGACCACTTCCAGCTGATTATGGGAAGCCACCCTTTCCATCAGGTCAGTGCAGTCGTTGACTAATCGAGAGCAACTCTCATTCTTGAGCAGTGCCCTCAACGCACGCCTGCTGTCTGAGCAGATGTATATCTTCTTGCCCCTGTCCCCCCTGCCCAGAATTTCCCTGGCACAGGCTTTCAGGGCTGCAAGCTCTGCTTGGAGCATGGTCGTATGCGGGTGAAATCCAAGGGCCCTTGCAATTGAAGGTCCCTCAGACCAGATCCCTGCCCCCGCTCTATTACCAATTCTGGAGCCATCCGTGTACCAGACCAGCCCCGTCGGTGGCGTCCACTTTCTGTCACTCCCTAGTTGGGTTGCCCCATATCCAAGGTTGACCTTAAAACAGGCATCTCCTCCCCAGGACAGCAGTCCCCGAAGTTCGCTGTCCGCCGTGAGCATTGCCGCATGACCACTACTGGCCTCCTTCCATCGACCTTGCAGTCGTAATCTCGCAGCCGAGATCATCGCCACCTCCTTAATGTGAAGGTGGGGCGGCTGGAGAAAGAGCAGAGCCTCCAGTGCTGAGGTGGGGGTCGTCCAGAGGGCCCCCGTAATTCCCAGCATCGCAATCCTGCCCGTCCTGTCTACCGTTTTCCTGTGGCAGGCTTTGTTCATTGCCGTCCACCAGACAACAGCAGCGTACGCAAGCTGTGGGAGCATTATGGCCGTGTAGATCCATTTCACGATTCTGGGCCTAAGCCCCCACGTGCTGCCAAACATCCTCCTGCATGCCCAGTAAGTCATGATGACTTTGTTCGTCTGCATGGTGATGTGCTTCTTCCAGCTAAGCCTTCTATCGAGCCATACCCCCAGGTATTTTACCTCGTTCGAAAAGCCCAGAACTGTGTCATAAATGGAGGGGGGTCTTACGACACACCTCCTCCTGCTAGTAAAGAGCACCATCTCCGTCTTGCTCGGGTTTACCCTGAGTCCATGAGAGGTGCACCACTGCTGAACATAGTCCAGCGCATTCTGCATCCTCTGGTGTAGTATGCCCTCATTCCTGCTACTCAGGAGCAAAGCCACATCGTCTGCGTATCCGATTGCGTCCACCCCCAGTCTCTCAAGCCCAGTGAGAAGCCCGTCCGCAACGAGGAGCCACAGCAGCGGCGAGATGACCCCCCCCTGCGGGCAGCCCCTCCCTACTAGCGCCCTGACTGTACTGTCCCCGAGCGAGGAGTGGACCAACCTAGTTCGGAGCATAGCGGCGATTCATCTGATGATGGATATCTCTATCCCAAAGGATGCCGCCGCCATCTCCATGGTTCCAAAGGAGGAATTATCAAAGGCCTCCTCTATGTTAATAAAGACAGCGAGGGTGTCCTCTTTCCTTTCCTTTGCTCTTTCTATTTTTGCAACCAGGCTGTGCAGTGCCGTCTCAGTTGATCTGCCCGCCTGGTATGCATGCTGCGAGGGGCTAATGGGATTCATTGTCAGCTCTCCCTCTTTGATGTGCCTGTCAACGAACCTTTTCAGCGTCTTCAGTAGGAAAGAGCTCAGGCTGATAGGCCGATAGGCTTTGACGTTGTCATAGCTGCATTTACCTGGTTTAGGAATGCACAACCCTGACCTCCCGCCATCTTCCTGGGACATGTCCTAAAGCAAGACAAGCCCTTAATGCTGGTAGCAGTCTATGCAGAAGCAGCGGGCCTCCTTTCCGCAGAAAAGCCGGGTATATGCCATCAGGCCCCGGACTCTTATACATCTCGAAGGAGTCCACCGCCCACCGCAGCCTGTCCAGCGTCACAATTTTCGAGGCCAGGCCCCAAATCGGCCTGCCCTCGCCTGACCGTGCCCACTCCATACCAGAGCACATTCCCTCCCCCTGTATAACAGAGTCGGGGAAGTGCACCTGGATCAGGTGCTCCAGTATCTCATCTGGCTGGGTGATAGCAACACCACCAGGTAGTATGATCCCACCCAAGCCTTGCACGTGTCCGGCAGAGAAGACCCTGCGAAGCCTGGCCACTTGTGGCAGTGCTTCCAGCTCCTCGCAGAAGGTCTTCCATGCTGACTCTTTCGATCTTTTGATGAGATTTTTAAACTCCCTCTGTATCTTCCTGTACTGAGTCCAGTCCTCTTCTCTTTTGGTGCGGTACGCTCGGTTCCAGAGACGCCTGGTCAGGCCTTTCAGTCTCCCAAGTTCCCGGTTCCACCATTTAACTTTCCTTCCTACCCTGCATGGTCTGATCGGACATGCCTGATGGAAGGACTCGGTTAGGGCTCTGTGGATACTCTTCACCTCGTCCTCTAACCTCTCGATGTTGCTGGGCTTCACACGTCCGACATCTAGCCTTTCCTCCTGTTCCCTCCTAAAAGAGCCCCAGTCGGTGGCCTACGGATTTCTACGCATGAGTCCCTGCGCGATCTCAGCAGTGCCTTGAATTTCAAACCTGATGCACCGGTGATCGGAGAGCGAGTCCTCCTGGTCCACCCTCCAGTTCACGCACCGGTGCGCCAGTCTGCGATCGCATAACGTGATGTCAATGATACATTGAGCCCTAGCGGTGACAAACGTGGGGCTAGTTCCCCTGTTTAGGATCTCCAGCTCCGCATTCGCCAGGTATTCCAACAGGGCTGATCCACTGGCGTTATTCTTACTGCTACCCCATACCACATGCTGCGAGTTTGCATTGCAGCCTATGATGAGCGGCAGCTTTTTAGACCTGCAGTACCTGTCCAGTTCCTGCAGCTCTCTAGTGGGTGGCAGCTCCGCAGAGTCATGCGGTAGGTAAGAGGAACAAAGGACCATGTCCGCGGTCGGCCCCTCCCCATGTACCTGCACCATAACCGCCACCAGGTCCCTGTGACAGAAGTTCGCCATCCCCCTGGGTCTGCACGCTTTTCTAACTACGATGCAGGCCCTGGGTCCCGGGTTACCCCGAGAAAAGAATAGTTCTTCCTCACCTAGGTTAAATCCCCTTACAGATCCCTTGTAACACCAGGGCTCCTGTATAAGGCATATGTCTGTTTGTCCTACTGATAATCTGGAATCTCCCTCTTCTTCGCCCTCTTTTTTAGCATGGCGACCTCAGGGCGTGTGGCCCCAGAGGTCCTAGGCCTTTTGGCTCCGGTCCCCCCAACCACTCCCACTGGGGTCCCCGTCACTCCCTGCGAGGAGCACTGTTCCCGCAAAGCCTCGGCTTCCAGCCTGGCCTTGCGAGCCCTGCGCTTCTCCGCGCCCGTGTGTCCCTTGCACTTGTCCTTTAGGACAGGTTGGTCCTTGGTGGGTCCTACCACGGTAGTTCCCTCCTCCGACCCCCTTGCCGAGACCGCGGCCGTCTCCAGAACCCCTGGGGGATCCCCGGGGACTGCTGCCCCAACTGTTCTGTTTACCTCTGGCGTTCCCTCTGGGAGGGCACCGCCTTCGGCGTTGTGTGATAATTGTGATTTGTACATAGACATCCCACGAGTATCCTAGGAAATAGAGGTCCACCCCAGCAGAGCCTGGTTACTGAGATAAGGCATCGCTACAATGAGGTGCTGCCTGGTGCCTCAAGGGTATCGTTAACGACACTATTCCCCAGTGCCATCCAGCCATCGGCACGATAACTCCCATCTTGGCTTGGGGAGTCGGTCTGCGACGGTGCTTTGGAGCGCCCTATCAGGGAGTTACCCCCGAGTTTGCCCCTATGGCGCCCGTTGACCGGGTTCCGGCAAGGACTAGCCAGATCCAGGCTCTGATTCTTCTCAGTACCCGACCCTGGTCCCCCAGCCCCTTCCTTTCCCCGGCCGTCCCTCTATCCGCCACCTGAGGACGCACCCGGTTGGCGCTCAACCCTCCCCTTCGTCTCTTTACGAGCTCGTCCGGGGCCGGGATATGTAAAGGTATGAACTTCGATATAATATAATATTCCATATAATTTAAAGTAATATTGCTATACCAGTTCCCCCACTTTCTTAAATTTATACTTGCATATATCTTTTTTTAGAAAAATTATATTCTGGCATCCAAGAAAAGGAGATTAGTTTTCAACGCTAATTATATAATGAATTCGAGCAGATTCCGGAGAAACGTAAGCGTCGCCTCAAATAATACAATTATCAACTTCACAAGCATGAGTATGGATGTTCGTTTCGTAACACTTTATCGGGGTATTCAGCGAAAAGTTTTTTGAAATTCATTGACTTGTCTCGATTTTTCGATCTCTTTTGCGATACCAAATTTTGAACTAATAGACTTATTCAAGTATTAAAACCAATTAGTATTCTGGGTTTATCGAAAATTTTTTTTATTACGCCGAACAACTAATCCTTCAAGGATATTTGACTAATGCATTGTTCGTTTATTTTCCATTGTCGGCCTTTTAAGTAGGGTCTCCCCTTGAATGATTTGTGCGATACAACAGAACTCAACCATAGGAATAGTGAGCTCGCCATGGTACTTGAAATAAACTATATTTTCTCATGGTGTTCATCTCATCGTCCAAAAACCAATTTTTAATTACAAAATTCCAGAAAATTTTAGAAATTTCCCAAGTTATCGATGACTTTTCCAGAGCGTTCAAATTCCATAACATTCCCAGATTTTCCACATTTCCCTGACCACTGAACAACATGTTTATTCACTCTAAGATGACCGGATTCTACTTCGTTAATTATGTACTTAAAACGTGACACATGCTTGATCTACATGGGTTTATGTGTTTTCTGCAATGTTAATGAGCAATCAATGCCGAGGAATAGCAACATTTGCCTAACAGTGAAGTCATGAATATGAAAAATTCTATCCATCTTTTATGGCTATATTAATTGTCAGTTTGTTAAAATTTAAATAAGTTTCTGTGCGTGATCCAACTAGTGACTTGAATAATTACTTTAATTTATTTATTTTTACTGAGTTATTAAATATACAATTACAACTTATGAAACTTACCATGGAAATCAAAATGGAAATTTTTTTTTTTGTGAAGTAAGAAGAGTTTATATACACAATGAAATTTCTATATGTTTCAAAATATAATTATGAATAGGTTGAGAATTCGATTTCTAATCAAAAAGGTTTTTATGATTAAAAAAAAAAGTTTTTACTGTTATGTTACCATCATCACTTATGTGATATAACAGGTTTCATCATTATTTTCACGTATCGGCAAAGTAGAGCATAAGCCTATTTTTGTTTTGCTTAATTATTCATTTACTACTTCTTGAAATTGTTTAGTGCTATTGTGAGTTTAAAAAAGATTAGGGCATTTTAAGAAATATAAGAATTGCCCCTATTGTTATTCTTTGTTCTGAAGGCATGCGTTTGTGTATAAGCTGGAAGAAATATAAACAGCAATAGAGGAAAATTAATTGTACATGGTTCATTACGGGATTCGAAGTAATCGGTCATTTACAACCCACGAGATTTGATTCAACGAATATAGAACTCAATTTGGAAAACACGAAATTTGACACATTCAATTGGACTTCATAATCCATAGTTGTAATTTTTTAATAGCTGTACTGTCAAACGCCACATTTTTTAGTAAAGTGAATTAGTCATCATGAAATCACTTTTATACGTTGATGTTCAAGTATAATGGTACAATACGAGTCATATGAATGAGGTGATGTACATGTCGGCAGGTGTTGTATTTTGAATTCACGTGAGTTCGTTTGTCAATACAGGTTAAAATTCAAACATTATCATCCAGTTGTGATTATTGACGTGATTACACGAGTAAAATTCACATAAAAAAGTATAATGTATAAATTCTTGCATTTCCAATTTTCAGGTCTACATTCCTCGGAAATGGGCCGAATACCAAACGTCTCTCAGGAAGAGGTTATCGCGTTAATCGAAAAATATATCGACCGTTTCTCAACCAACGATTTCCCAGCCCACTCAGATCCTATATGGCACAAAATGAGTTGCGACGTGGATGGTCGTTTCATTCTTCATTCAATTTATACATACGTAAGATGTGATAAGCGAGGGGACCTGAGTCCAGCCCGAAAGAATCAAGGTATATCAGTAGTCCCAAAAGCCAAACTTGTACTCCTTGACGCTCAGGCAGATTCTGATGGTGAACAGTTCGAGGATGTCGCCGAAGACGACGTACCTGATACTTCTCATGGTGAAAACCAAGTGAAATTTGAAACTTTTTATCTTCAACTGTCTAGAGAAGAATGGGAATTAATCAAACCCGATGACACTATGAACAAAACAAGACTAAAAAAAGAAACTTTGGCTTCAGTTATAACTGGCGCTTTCTATAAAAAATACGCTTTCAACTGTGCATTTCTTGCGAAATACTCTTATGTATATTCGAATCCAAACTCACAGAAGGATAAACCGTTTTTAAAATTTGAAGCCCCGTTTTTGAAATTTGAAAAAATTTAATTCCAAAGCAGCAATGAAGGGTTTTCTGAGTGATTTCCCAGTATCTCTTGAATTAGAGAGAACGTATCGGTAAGTGATTTCGGTATAAGAGTAATATACTATTGAAATATTCATTTTGTCATTGTTATTTTCAGACTCGCTGGTATAGTTGATTACCAGTCAAACCATTTTATCGCTTACTGTCTCAGATCAAGCGGGACTTGGCTACAGTGCGACGATATGCAGAAGAAAATTACATCTGTTGATAATCCCAAAGAGACCTCTGTATTCCCTCACATTGCACTTTACGTACTGAAATAATTAATTTCTCCAACTGTGAAGATTTGCATGTTTCTAAATGTGGTCAGTTCTCGAGTGATGTCATCAGCACGTAATGAAATGATGATTGTATTACGCCTTTTATGGTATTTAAGGAGATGGGGAGCTGGAGAGGTGTCTGAAGACTGGTGGTGATGCTGGTGACATGCTTTGAGTGGGAGAAACCACGTGGAATTGACAGTTGTCAGAGGGATAGGACTGAATACACTGGAGATATGGAGGATTTGGAGTTTCAGGGCGATTTTGAGGGGACATTGAAAATGTTGGGAGAGGTTCCCCAGAGAATTGGAGGCAGGGAGGATTTTGGGGATTCTCTCGGTTCAGGGATAGTTTTGCTGGGTTTGGAGGGAAGGAGGAGATTGTGCTGAGTAAATCACATCCAGACCCTAGTGCTGGAACCGAAAGTAGGATTCAGCGGTGGATTGTTTGTACATCTATACAGTGATATATGTTATTTCTATATAGATTTGATAGAGAAAATCTAATGATGTCAAGTTCAGTGCAAGATTATTGATTCATATTATTCGATTTTATTAAATGTTTAGACAAAATAATATTCTATTGTGCACATATATAGTTTTCCGCTGTATTTAAATTATATTGGTATGTATGATGAGGTGAGAGTTCGAGCCTGTGCCTGTTCTGGGCTCCAACTTATGTTTTTTATAAAATAAAAAAACATCTTCCAATCAAAATATTTTGTCGTCCATAAAATACTAATTCATTTCACATTTTTTCCCTGATTCGTACTGTTTCCGCTACATATAAGTCATATTTGTCTTAGTTTCCACGTCAGATAATCCTAGAAAAACTACCCTACGCAAATAATTCTAATAAAATTTCCTGATAGATTTCCATCCATCATTATCCATCCACATTACGAAAAAGCTGGCTGTTATTTTTAACTGCATTGAAGAATTGATAGTGAGAGCGGATGATGATTTTGTGCGAGATCGTTGGGTAAGTTCATGGAGCAGTGGATCCAAGCGAAAAAGGGGGCCAAATCTGTACGAGAAAAGTTCAGCAGCCCCCATGTTAGGCATTCTACATGAACTCAAACTCGGTGTAAACATAATGTTTGAATCATTGAAAACCGAGGCAGACTCGGCTCTTGGTCATGATGTCGTTGATGAGAAATAAAAAGATTTTCTTTTCCAATAATTATTGTTTATTTATTC